AAACCCACAAGGTAAGGTGAGGGGAAACCTCACGTAAACTGATTTAATGTTCTGTATGAAGCACAGCAGCCTTAGTGAGGTAACTGAAGTGAGAACAAATTCACAGCCAGCTCCTGCCAAGTGCCAACTTCCCTTCGTTCCAGGGTGATCAGTACAGTCTAGAAGAAAGCCCTAAGACTGTAGCAGTACCATGCCTGGCAAGTTTTCAAATGCTTCTCAGAAGTCCTAATCTTGTCATTAAGGTATTTTAAGTGCTTCTCTGATGGAGCTGTAATAACCTGGAGTGGGTTAGGAGCTGTTTCCTCTGGATGATTTCTTCCTAACTTTTGATTTTCTAGAGTAGCTCGCAATCATGCTTAACCAAACAACAGAATGTTAAGTTTATTTGGAACTAAGAATACATTTCAGCACTCTGAATTTCTGCAAAGCATCCGAGCAGTAGAAAGGCAAAGTGTGTAAATAGTGCTGTACAGCAGCCTGTCATCTCAGAGGGGGGTTGGGATCAGGGGCAGTGGTCCCAAACTGCAGGTGTACTGATGTCCTGGGATGCTGTCTGCTCCATTCTGCCTATATATATCTGACTTGAACACTTTCCTCTTCCCAAGCCAAGCCATTAGCCGCAATTTGGAGTTCTGGATGTAGTTTCACTTGGGAAGACAAATTGAGTCAAGTGCTGAGCAGCCTAAACCTGCCTCTTTGTGAGGAATGTGCTGGGTCTGGGCTCCAGAGGAGAGCAGGAGTGGACCCAGGACCTGCACACAGCATTTTGCTGGCAGATTTCCAGCCTGCTCTTGAGCCAAAGTGCTCTTGCTAAACAGCGCTATTTGTGTCATTCTGCCGCTCTTTTCTTCTCTTTCTGCTTTTTCTCTTTTTTTTTCACATAAAAATTACAGTAATGACAATAAAAAGCGGTCCACTAATTTCTGTGCTCTGTGAGGAGGCTGCAACTTTCGTCAATCTTTACTTCCACGAAAGAGATTAAGGATTACAAACACTCACAGCCATAACAACTTCAGTAAGAGTTAACCCAGCTCCTTAGCACTGTTTTCATCACTGCTTCTGTCATTTGTGTGTACCCCCATCTATGCCTACTTTGCCTCGTCATCTTATGGCTTTTGATGTTACCAGGAAAGCCTTTACTGTGGAGTCATGGGTAAATCCACATGTCCAAGGAGAGTATTTAAGACTTTCAGGTTCCCCGTAATGTAGGGCTCAGGAAAGTACAAAGGTAAATTCTGTGCACTACAAGATGGTATGAGGTTAAGAGACTTTCATGAGGAAAAAAAAAAGCGGTAGAAGAGGTCATCTTTTCCAGGTCAAGGCTAATTACCAGAGAGAATGAAACAGCCTTGAAGTTGTTAGGGGACAAGGGATAGACAGAAGATCATGAATGCTTCCTGTGTTTTATAGGAAATGAAAACTTCCTGTTTCCCAATTTTTCTTTTCTTGAACCTACTTCCTACCGAAATCAGGAGCTATACCATTTAATTCTGCATACTGACTAAGAAAGGTGGGGACATTTTTTAATGTAACACATAAATATAACCAAACTGAGGTATTTTGTGTCTGATCCTGACAGAAGACTGGCAGCTTCTATTTCCAGCACGGGTAATTAAGTGCTGATGAAGCGATTGAATTCTAAATATTTTAATAATAAACTGTCGTTCTTATCCTCATAAGACTGTGAATAAAAACATTTTAAGGTAAATTTCAGTGCAAGAATGTCCCTTGTACTTATTAGTATGGATAATGCAGGGCTTCTGACATTTATTCTGGTCTCTTAGCCTGTGCTGCGGCACAGCTGTGTTGTTGTTTGAAGTACAACACTTTGCTGAATGCAAATGAAACCAGAGGCAAATGTGATAGAAACCTTTGAAAAACATAAAATATATCCAGGTGAAGTCTGAGGTGTGACAAATCTGACTCCTGTCTTGTGATCAGAAGAACACGTTGTTGCCATAGTGTTGGGGTCTGTCTCTAATGACAAGAAAGCAGATGTTTCAGTTTAAAACAACGCTATGGACAATCAACTTGCTGTGCAAGGCACTGGCAGCACTGGCTTTCAGTAATTCCCTGTCTCTGTATGACTGTAATGTGATGGGAGTGGAAAGCTAAAGCAGAAACTTGACGTGACCCCTTGCCACAGGCATTTTGGATAGAGCAGTCTTGGATGCTGGATGAACACAGGCCTTGTTCCTGCAGAAACCAATTGGTTTTGTACACACAAATAGTCCCACTGTGGTACAAAGTGTGCAGAAGTTTATTGGAAGATGCACCCGGAAGGGAAGTGGGTGTGAAGTGAGCTGGAGGAATGACTCATGAGAAGTAGATGGGAGTTCGGCACAGGGCAGCAGCAGTTCAGCCACTTGGCTGATCCACCAGTTGGGTGGGTTACAGCTGGAGCATCACATCGGATACAACAACAGGAAGAGCTAAGTGATGGAAAGCACAGGAAGACCACCAGGAAGACTGAGATGTGGAATGATCCTTTACTACAACTGAGCTGGGTGAGAAAGGAGGACACATAATGCAAGGAATGCAATTACTCATATCTCTGACTCAGGACTGATGAGTATGTGTTACTACTCAACACACATTTTGTGACTGTATTTTGGTTATTTTACGAGTAATCAAGTTCAATGGGAACATGCCATAAAGCCCTTGGGAAAGCAGAGGTTATTAGGCCCAAACAGATTAGGTGGATATTTTACAAACGACTGAATACAAGGAATGTGTAAAACCAAATATTGGAGAAATTACTATCTGAACAACCACCCTTGGTGAGAAGGACATGGTTGCAGATATGAATGAGTGGACACACAGTCACAATCTTAAAATCTCCCTGTAAAAGGCCACAGGACCACGTAAGACCAAATGTAGCATGAAAGCCAGAAGAGACCCGCATAACCTGATGTGACAACTTTGGGGTCAAAGTTCCAAGGCAGTTTCCTGAGCCCCTCAAGCAGTGTCCCAGACAGTACCCAGCCATGTACCTGTCTCAGCCAATCCGAGTACCCAAACACCTCCTTCCTACCTCAACTATCCAGGACACTGAAAACAGGCATTTAGATTCACAGAAGGCCTGCTGCTCTGATACCGTCCCAGCTTAGATGGTAAAGTATCTCCCTCTGGCACCTGCTGAAGAGGGTTAGGGACTTAGGCTCATCCTTACATCTGCAGCTCTCAGCCTAGGCAAAGTGCCGAAAGGATGAGGTGACAGGAATCCATGCAACCTCCTTACAATGGCCCTACGGCAGCTCAAGTAGCCAGGAGGCTGCACAATGCAGTCCCCAGCCTTGCACCCCAAGGAAGAAGGGTGGGTTTGTGCCCACACACCATCTTCAAGAGGAGGGACTTTACCTCAGCTCGCATTCCTCCATTTCTAGTTTATCCTAATGGCTGAATAATAAGCCATGAAACCTTCTGGATGCAAAATGTGATCTGGCCTAAACAGAGGAGAAGGCTCTGAAATTTGACTGACTTCCCACAGGTAGATCCAAAGATGGTCAACAAAACACCCCTTCGGTCTCACCAGTGTTATGGTGCTTCAGTCTGGATGATACCAACTCTGCTCCCCTGGCACTTGGCTCCGCACGGTGAGTGCCACTGCTGAGGGCACACGCTGGTGCCCCTCACAGAAAATGCTCTTCTTCTGAGGTGCACACCTATGATCCTGAGACAAAAAAGACTACTTGTATGCAAAGCTTTTACAAATTTGGTCACTGTGACCAAACTTTATTACCCATTTTATGGAACTGTGACAAAAGTCTAGGAATCAAACAACATGGGGATCACAGAGGCTATGATGTTTATTGTGCTGAACAGACTGTGATAATCCATTAAAGGAACATTTTCAACAAGCAAGCGATTCGAAGTACAATCGTAGACAGCAGCTCTACATGAAGAACAAAGCAAAAAGTTAGAAGACACTCAAAAGAAAAAGTAAACTGTAGTTAGACATCTTGAAGCGTTTTTTTTTTTTTCCTGCAAACACACCTCTCTTGCAGAAATGGTAGAAGAGTTAAATGTCCAGTCTTAGTTAGCAGTGACCAATGACAGCAAAGAACAGTCGTATAAAATTTATCTCCCACAAAAATAAACTATATATATAAAAAATTTTATGATGTTCTCACTGGCTCACTGGCCACATGCAATTTTTCAGTCTGAAAAAATGAGGTATAGTAGGCCCTAAGAGGTAGTAATGTGTTTTGATTGTACTACAATATACAGAAAATACAAGATTCCGTTCATCAGAGTGGTCAGTCTCTCGGAGGTTGAAGTGTGACACACACCCAGTGATTATTTTGGTGTCACCTGCTGAATACTGTGGTTTCAAAAAATGTAAACAAAACCAACCAAACGGGATTTGCTAAGGCTCAACTCCAGGCCCTCTGAAGTCAACAGAATTCCTTCTACTGACTTCAAGGGACGCTGGATTTGGCCTGCTAGAGCTGCCCCACAGCTCGGGTTACTTTTTGTCCACTTCCTATTAACGTGTCTGGTTTTAGCACTCCGAGGAGCTCTTTCTCAGCAATCTCCGACAATGGACCCTCTGCAGTCTTTTGAGGAGGTCCGCAGTTCTTGACTCTGCCTCTTGGAAGAAGCCAGTAAGTAGTTATCTTTAACTGCACTTGGCTTGCTACGAAAGCCGTGCCAACAGACGCCTTCCTGAGAAACTACCCCTGGCCCAGTTATTAATAAAATGTTACAAAGTACTGACTAAGAAAGAGAGGAAGAAAGGAAATTAAACAGAGAGAAAATGAAATCAGAGAGAGAAGAGGGAAATAAAGAGTGAGAGGGAGGAGAATAAAAATACTCTACAGAAGAAGCATTTAAAATAAATCTGGCTGAAACATATTACAAAATCACATTTGTGTAAAATACATGAAAATACTTGTCAAGTATTTTCTTACAATCTACTAATTATTTTTTTAAACACATATTTGTGATTGCATTATGCAAAAGCTGAGCTTGTTGCTTCCCACCTACAAAGCTTCAAGTTTCTTTGAAGGTTTTTTTTTTTGTTCATTTTTTTTTTTTTTAAATACGAAAGTAATTTAAAATGTGTTCATTTTCCACAAGTTATTTTACAAAAATACTTTTGAATTAGGGATTAGTTGCAGTCCTAACTGTTTCAAACGTCTCAAAACTAATGCTGAAAGTAAGAAGTTCATTCCATTTAAAGTCTGGAGGTAGGTCTTTGTCAATCAATTAGTCCATTTCTTTAAACAATTCATTTGAGGTACAAACTTGGACAGTAATATTTAAACATTACAGCTAAATTTTTTTTCTATGTCATGTAGTGTCATTGAAGAAAATTCTCCTTACAAACCTATCAGCAATTCAGTACAAAAATATATTCAAGTTAACAGTACATTACACAGAAGTTTAGCAGAGACAGGGTAAGTACATTTAAAAAAAAAAAAAAAAAAAAGAGAGAAAAATACATAGTCATGCTGAAACACAATAAAGATATTGCTTCCTTAACTGCAATTAAGTGTTGAAGTAGAAATAAGGGGAAAATGCAGATACTCATGATTATCTACCCAGTAAAAATTTCCTGCATTGAGTGTGTATAGCAGCATGTATTTATCAGTCTGTTGAGTTAATTGTAAAAATCAGAGGTAGCTTTGAGTAGTGGGGTAATATTGCATCTGTTGCTAAAAGTGCTGCTTTGAATGAAAAGATGGAGAAACGCAACTGGCACAAAGGTGCTCAGTGAACCATCCTATGTCAAAATACATTGCTTAAAGTAATACACAAGCCTAACTGAGGTACATGGTGTTGGTTTTTACATCATGACTGATGAGTAATGAGGAGAGATCCATCCTGTTTGAAATCTGGTGCGGGGTGAGTGGAATTAGTTGAAAATAACCAAAACATCTGGATTATTTTGTTCAGATAAACTCACGATTAATTTTGAGGTACCTTTCTGCATGATTTAAAACACTTTTCTTGATAAAGACTTAGTCATTAATGGCGTTAGTGTTTGGTGTCAATCATTTCTGTTTCCACAGAAAACACCTGGCTCTACGGAAAGCCGACTCCTTCAGGCTTTCTACTGTCCAGAAGGTGAGGGCTGCTCATTTCGTTTACTTCTACTTCTGCTGATATGTTTGTATGTAAAACTATACAACGTATCTTTGTCTTTCTTCCCTTTTGCAAAATGGAAGTACCTTTTTCATGTTGCTCTTTCTTCCGATTACCAGCTGAATGAAGTGAGAGTTCAGCTTTCAATTTTTTTTTTTCCTGAAATATCAGTGAGACTAAAAAAAAAAAAATAAATCAAGTACAAATCTACAAGAAGTTTACAAAAAAAAAAAAAAAAAAAAAAAAAGTAGTATCTATCCCTTATCTTTGGTGTTCTAAAACAGAGTTCACTAAGTAGGGAGTGGGTTGCTGGAAGTGTTGCAAGGCCAGGTGTTACACACCCAGCCTTTCCTATTTCAATGCCCATTATAATTAATATGTTACAAGTTTCTTGTTTATATGCAGTGCAGTGAATGACTTAAACCTGATTTGGAGTTCTTCTTGACCCAGTCACCCTTACTTAGCAGCTCGAACTATTAGTAGGTTAAGAAAATTGAAAACAGTAATTTGAAGTTGCATCGTTAATCTGTGCCCCCATTGTGTTACAGCAGTTTTTCACTAAACCTGGGACTGTGAAGGGATTATAAAGAAGTTGATTAGTCAAATCCTTTTTAAGGTTATGCAATTTTTTCCCCCCAGGCAAAAGTGGAAAGACCATGGCAATAGAAAATAAGTGGTCAAGGCAGTGTCTTCTCCCTTCAAAAGACCCAACTGCTGATGAGGTAGAAATTGCATGGTGCGGTCTCCTAGTCTTCCTCTGCAGATTCTTGTGAGGATGTTTCTTCAGTCTCTTCCTAGAATACACAAAAAGAAAAAAAAATAACTATGTGGTGACCGTGCGTCTAGGGCTGCCTCCTCCTCTCACACAGCTGACAACTGCATCCTAAGCTGATAAAATGTGCTGTATAGCTGCTGTGATGCCCCAAGAAGCTGCTGTGGAGAGCAGGGGAAGGTCTCCACTCTCAGACCACACCAGTTCAGTTTGCTGCTCTTCCCTCCTACCCCATGTGGCACCAAGCAAGAGAAATCCCTGCCGTGCTCTGTCATGGGTCTCCTATGAGAAGCATTTTGAGCAGATATCCAATGTGAAGGAGGTGCTGTGGGAAGACTTTGACTTTTTGAGGCCGTCCTCCTCCTCCCCAAAGCCAACTTTGCCTTTCCTTTCAGCACACCTGGCTGAACGTGACACTCTTATGCTGCTTATTTAAGCAATGCGACGGGCTTTTCAGGACACAGACAGTAAACTGGGAGCAACAAACATTTCTGTTAAAATGGGCTGAGAGTGAAAGGTGGTTTTTTCTGAAATGCTGTACATCGTTGCCTAAGCCAGCACGTGAAAAAGATCTATGAAAAATAGGAATTTATCCCCTCAGCCAACGGAGACCTTTTAAGAATGACCAGCTTAAAACAGCTTATAGCAGTCTTCATACTTTAATAGATTTGATTTTCCACATGGCTTCATTTTGTCTCGGTGGCTAACTGACACAATTTATAACTCTCTTCCTTTCCCAGGCCACTACAGTACACCATTCAGCAAAGCATGCCTTCAAGCTTGTCTGCATTATATGGCCAAACTTCCATTCATTAGTGTTTGAAACACCTCAGCTGTGAAGGGCTCCTAAATGCTACCATGTGTGACACTGCTGCAGAAGAACGGCATCAAGGAAAAACACACAGCTTCAATCACAGGCCACCACTCTCTGCAATCCTCTTTCAAAAGGTTTCAGCCCCTTGCACCCCCCCCAAGAAAAGACTGAAAAAAAAAAAGCAAAAAAAAAGCTGTAAATCCAGGGAATAAACGTAAGTATAAATGAATGGATGACAGCTTAAAAAATATAACCATAGCAGCATCAAGCCATGAGATTTCACACTGGTTTTGTTTAGTCTGCTTTGGGTTATGTGGGAAATGTGAAAAGCATGAAGCAAACGCTTCCCCCTCTGCCGCCAGACCCCTGCCCCCCGCTAAAGCTCGGGCCTCAGCCATTTAAGCCAGCAGGTTTATACCTCTTGACTAGGAAACGGACCATGACCCTGGGGTACTCTCTGGAGCACCAGGCACAAAGAAAGATGTAGCGTGATCAAAGCTGTGGACGGAGGAAAGAGAGCAAAGTCAAGTGTCAGCCGCCCTCCGACCTTGACTTTTCAATTAATATTTAAATTCCAGATGACATCGATCTATCACACAGATAAGCAATTTCTTCCTCACAACAACTGCTTCCCGCTTGCAGCACGGTTATATTTAGAGCGCTGTGTGAAAACGATCCCTGACTCACCATGTGATTAAGCGACTTTCGCTCCGTCCCCCGCAGCGTTTGGAGATGGGCGCTCGCGCTCTATCTAATCCTGTTATCATGTAATGCATTTTCCCTGCTTGTCTTCCACACAGAATAGGATTGTGACTGCTACAACATCTCAGGCAAGAAGAAAAGTGGTATCTGCAGACACCTACTGGAAAGCTAACTTGGGCTGCGTGTTGAGAGACAGCAGCAAGTATGTTGGCTTAAATCTTGGTAATTCAGAACTTGTGATGACCTGAAGACAATGGCTTTGCCTGCAAGCCAAGTATTTCAGTTAAAAATTATAACTGTGGGTTCCATGCTCGGAACATAATGCAGGTAGGCATGTTTTGGTTAATGGCATTTGGTAACAATCACGTGCTTAACACCTTAAATCACCATGGGCAGTCTGAGCCTCTTGCCACCGAGTCCCCGAAGCCCGCCGTACACTCATGGGCACTCACTGTGTTTTACTCCTGCCTTGTCACACAACTGACCCATTTTCCATGATGGTGGACTTCTGATCACAGCACAACGTCGATGGGACAGAGGGAAAATACATGGCAGGATGTACTTCTATTTCCGAGTCCAGCCAGGGGAGCCATAAAGAGCTATTTTTAGCTGAAGACCTGCCCAATCCTCCTGATTTATACTGTGAATTTCACAATATTTTTTCCTTATGGTCTCTGCTGCTGTGAGTAGGAAAACAAATGAGAAGTTCGTCTCTCATCTTTCTACCTATGTATCAATATTAATTTAATGACAGATATGTATATGCAAATGTGCACCTGCAGTGCTACAAAAAATGAGAAACCAAAAATCAAGCTAAAACCAACAATATTTAAATAATAAACTGATTATTAAAAATACTTGAGACTCGCAGGTCTACTTTTCCAATCCACGTTTCAGGCAAAGAGATCAGATGGTCACACGGCGGAAAGAAAACTTTTCTTCATTAGGTTCATGCTTTGCAAAAGCCTAAGATAGCTCAGTTACAGATGGGTGGTTTTAAGCCAACCTATCATGTAAGTCCCTTGTCAAGGCACAGATGGAGACATGATTGCCGCTCTGAAGTGCTTACAATTCAAAGGGATAATACAAATCAGACAGAGATGCATGGAGGGACCCAAAGGAAGAAGTGAGCAGAGGTTCTGAAAGAGAAAATGCAGATGTGTCACAGCAACAGAGAGAAATTTTTTGCATTTGTCCCCTCCATGTATCATACACATTCATAAAAAAAAAAGGTTACAAATATCAGAAGATTGTGCAGCTGTGATCCTCAACCCAGCCTTTGCTGTGTGCCCCACATAGATGCACACTCAGCAGCTGACTGACAAGGTGCACTGCAGAGGCAGTTTTACTTGTCATGTCCTGTCCCTGGTTGTCCTGTGCTGTACGGGACAACATATTATTCACTCTGAGCTGTTGCACACAGTATCACAGTGTAATACTGCAAGGACAGATTGCAAACAGCATCCTGAGCTATTTCAATCCTTAACTGCAGTAACTGACCTAACAAGCAGGAAGTGATGTGGAGCTGCTGTCTCTCCCAGAAAAAAAAGCACTGAGAAATCCTTCTCCATGTGCTGAGATGTTTAATGCTTTCTTCCAGAGGAGCATCGTCAGCAAGAGGCTGGCAAATGTGCCCTGAGGTCTGGGACCCTCCAGCACAGCCCCCTTGCGTTTCCCCAGTGTTGATCTGTTGAGCAATGGTCCACAGCAGAGATCTGCCCTCAGAAGGGCTACTTTGCAGGGAGCTGGCGCTGCTGTTGTTAGCCTGAATTTAACAGTGATGGCAACAAAAAGAACCAGGATGCAGCCAGCAGGCTTCTGTTAGAAATGCTCTCTGCAGTCAGCATGCCTAGTGGGCTTTCATCCTCTGCAGTTTCAGATGATGGTACCTTTGGTGGGAAGGGAACAATATGTCTGAAGATAGGAGAATGGGCCTGTTTAGATGCCCTGGGTATTTAGTTTGGCATTCGGCAGCCAGGCCAGAAGGCTGCTGGTCTCCCATGTCACACTATGGATGTCTGTGATCCAACAGGGCACCTGAAAGGGCTCAGCACAGCATTGAGACAACTGTTCCTGTTTGACAGCAGCATCCCCCCACATACAGAAGGACAACTGTTTCTCCGTTTTGTAAAAACATTTATTATGTTCTAATTCCCTGAGCAAAGCTCCTTTACAATTACTTCAAGGTTAACTGCCTCAATAAACTGGCAATTCAGTTGGCAACTCACTTTTTTTCAACTTTTGCTCACGAATCTGAACTTCAGATTACAAAAAAAGAGAACCAATTTTGCGAGATGAACTTTGGGATCATGGCAATGGCACATGCAGGGCCTCCGAATTTGTCAGAGCTTTTATTTTATAACAAAGTACTTGCTATTGGCACAGATCTTGCTGGCTGCTTTCTAAGTCTGAAAGCATATGCTTGAATAGATACGTCAAAAAGAACTGCTGACAAGAGCAACTTGCAGACTGTGGACCATTGTCTGCTAACTTGTCTGAAATCCCCTGACATGCAAACTAATATTTTCAGGAATCCCTGAAGCCAGTGGCTCCTACTGCAGTTGCAGATACCCAGCCTATGCCCAGACAGTGCCATCCTGACTGCTCCATGGCCAGCACACTAAACTGATTTAGAAATTCTTACAGCACTAACAGACACTCATCACAGATTTCTTTTGCATGAACTTTTGGTGGGAACTTTTGCTTCAAGCTGCTTTGCCATCTGCAAATCATGCTGGCAAGAGCTCAAACTCCTGTTCCAAGGGGCTGTCAGTCAGCATGCAGCCCTGCTGAGTTTGTGACAGCAGTCACTCAGCAGTAAAGCAAAGTTAAATTTGAGATTTTGGATTCATAACTCATATTATTACAGGTATTTAATGCACATATCACAATAAAAGGATTCATTAGCAGAAGAGACCACCATGGCCGCATACAGAAAGCCACACAACTCTAAATGCTGGATTAAAGTATATTTTTATATATGCATCTAAAGAAATTATTTCAGTACTGGAAATCTGTATTGGAATACAGTCAACCAGCCTGCAAGCAAGCAATTTTCATGTACTGCCACTATTAGCACACAAGGAGTGCAAATTCTCCAGCCTGGTGGTTGAAAACTCTACCAACAGAGCAGTTCAGCAAACCACTGCCCTCTCCCTGCACTGGTCCTGCATTTGACACCCTACAATCATTGCCTAAGCTATGGGACACCCTGATGATAGCAAACAGACAGCTCCCTCCATGGAAGCAAAACTCTTGGTACTATAATAACGTTAGAGATAAAGAAAGAGACAAATGGAGAGGTGGCAACTGATGGGACAGTTTGGGGTTGACATGTAAGGGCTGACAAACAACATTATTGCTTTAAATGTCTACTGTCCTATGAACTTTGCCTCTAAGGTCCTTCTTGTTACCTAAGGACCTTGGTCTTAAGAAGGCTGCAGACTTAACTGTAAGAGAAATCCAGTGCTGAAATACCAGTGAGTAGTCTTACTGAGCTGATGCTT